TAAGGTGACAGAGAAATAGCGTTACCGGGGTTTATCCGAAGAAATTCTGACTAACTAGCGCGTCCAAAAGAGGAGATTCTGCTCAACTTTTCGTTCTGCAAACCCGAATATAATAAGCAGAGCAAGCTCTGCTAATAAGCTATATCTAACATTTTTTTAGCATGTCTAAGCAGTGTTGTTAGAAATGCATTAGTGTAAAAAAAGTAGTTTAGGAGAGTCTTAGTAAAAGTAAGTAACTTAGGTGTGTAAGAACTTGCCTGTGAAGTATGTTATAAGTTTCTAGAGCATTAAAAGTTAAAAGCGCAGATTACTAAAATTGTGCATTTCGCGACGCTGTGCATTACGCGCTAGAATACGGCATAGAGTAAGTATTACATTTTATTTAGCAGTCTAAAGTGTAAGCTTTACTTTATCTTCTTTTAAAAGTTCTAATTAGTGTTGTTGTTAAGGCATTGTAGTGTTAGGATAGTTTGAGTAGCGTCTTAGCAGAGTAGCCAGACACCTGTGTGGCCAGCACACCTGTGAGATATGTTATAAGAATAGAGTTTTCTAGATGCGATCTCTGCTAGCTGCCTGGGGTAACAAATTGCATTGCAGCGACATGCCTATAACATTCGCGGTACAGTCTCGCAGACCATCGCAACTGTTTAGAACACAGAAAATTTTTTTACTCTAGAGATAGGGTAATGCCGCACTGCGGTAGGGTTAACTGAACAGTAAAAATAAGAAGGGAATTAAGCCACAACGTTAAGGTAAGTAATTGTAATTTTGTTGGCGCGATAGTGCGCGATGTGTGTTGAGTGTTGTGTCTATGCAGATACAGAGTTGACGGAAGATCCTTTTATAGGAGCGTCTTAGCGGCAATCATGTAATGCACATCTGCCATGTCTCACCGGGTAGAAATTCCGTGCGACAGGAATTCACCATTTATCTTCATCGTCAATCAATCGACACGTGGCAGCCGTATATCCTCAAAATATCCTTTAGAGCCTCGTCGCTATCTGTAGGTAGAAGATCACCTGCCGTTTTCCCCTCGATATTACGAAGGCTAGCGTCTGCCCCGTGCTGTAGCAGCCACTCGACGGTGGCGACCTGCCTAGACGCAACTGCGGCATGGAGCGCAGTCCCCGGTGGCCCGTTTATGCCTTCCTGAGTAAAGCATTCGTTAAGGTTGGCCCCGTACTGCAGTAACACCTCAAGAATATCGATCCGGCCACGATTCGCAGCCACGCGTGTAGCCTCTGAGCCGGTGATAACAGCGCCATGCTCTAGCAGACACTCCACGATTTCACGACAAGCTTGCCAGCAGGCGACGTACAGAAGATAGCCCGGGGTATCGGGGTGCGTCAGAAGATTCGCATTGGGGTTATATCCGATTCCCATAAGATGTCGTACGAGGCCGAGGTACTTCTTGCGAGGTATCCGCTCTGAGTTTGGCCCACCCCCGCAGGCGGCTCCTAGGATGCTGCCGCCCAACGGGAGACGTAAAGAGAAGACATCAGGCTCAACGGCATGAAATTTGAGCAGAACCTGAAGCGAGTTCTCATGGCTTAGAGCATCGCAGATGATGAGAGGCGTAACTAAGTTCGACACGGCAACGCCGTGCTGCTGGCCGAACCTGACAAGTAACTCGACCGTGTCGGCATGCCCGGCCCGTGCAGCGGCTTCAAGCATGCGCTGAAGGTTAAACTGCTTCTGGAGCCTCCCCACATCTGGGTCGATGACGACATATTCGTCGCTTAAAGCTACCTGGGACGTCGCGGGTTGTTGAAGCTCCGAGAGCAGCTGCTTGCACTCGCCATTCTTGCAAAGAGTGATCAGGTGTTTGGAAGATGGTGATGATGTAGCCATGGCTTGGTCGGCGTGTTGTTTCAAGCTTTGAACCTGGTGGCGACGGAGATCAAGACTAAAGAGCACAGAAGAAACTGACTAGCGGTATGGCGACACGTTAGACTGATGGCGTAAAGGCCTGAAAGGCCAAAGGAGACTTACGTCTTATATCTCTCTTAGTTTTAAGGCAAGGCAGGAATAGGGCAAGGCAGCAAGGCAAGAATAAGGCAGGGCGGGAATGCTGTGCCGCGGTTTGTCAAGTTGCAACACGTCATGGTCAACCCATGTACTGAGTAATGCTGTGCCACAGCTTTCTATGTATAGAAGTCACAACGCGTCTCATGTTCGCACTGAGCAGTGACCGAGCCTAAATTCAAAATTCAAACTTAAACAACAACTACGCTGATCTGCACCCTAAGTATACATACACCAGCCTTTCACCTGTGACTGACCTCAACGGCATACCACAAATCCTGCTTGATACCATTTCTGCAACTCCTACAGAAGCGCACTCCTCTAGCACGAGCCAGCCTGACCCGTCCCCGGCCTAGCAGGAGTGGGAATAACACCGGCTTTATCCGCCGGGGTCTTCGCGTCATCTTTCAACTTGGTGATAGTCCCGGCTCTCCACATGTTCGGCAACTCATGTTCTGTCCAGAAGCTGCCTGTCGGAGCTATTGCAAAGTTAAAAACCGTTCTGAAGAGCCCTCGATTTAGGGAAGACATACCGTTATCATGGTTGAAAACCAGTGGGTCTTTCGAGTAAAGGACTAATGCTTTGGAGCACGCAATGTTTACATCCTTGTCTAGCTGCATGGCGACCCCGCCGAACGCGTCCGCGAATTTTTTATTGAAAATACCCCAGTAGTAATTGTATCCGTTTGCCTTCGCGAAGTCGGCGGCTTTCGTCTGGAAATCCTGGCCAGCCCAGAAGACAATCTTGCTTCTGTCGACACCTGATTCCTTGTGGAGCCATAAGTAGACCTGCTTCCAATCCGCGGCGTCGTCTGGCACCCGGTCTGCACGCTTGTCGAGACTCCTAGCCGCAACTACACCGCACGGATTGTCATCACTAACGGCAGCCGGGTCTTCTTTGACACTGACCTTTCCACCTCCGGGGTGTGGCGGTTCCTGTGGTTTTGGCACCCCGGGGGTAATTGGTTTTGGTGCAACCGGAACCCCTGGCTTAGGCACCACTGGCTTAGGCACCACTGGCTTGGGGAGAATGACGGGAATTCCAGGGTCAGCATCTCGGAGTATCAGAGCCCTCCTGGAGCATTTTCCATCCGCACCTAACACATATAAGAATATTGCCTATGCAGATTACAGTTCAACTTTACATGGGGCAGCAGATGTTCTCAATGGCATGCCAATTGAGGCAGCCATAAGCAGTACATGCGACCATTGAATGCGCATGATGACGATCGGGGTATTCCGAGGGTTTGCTTCCAAAGGGAGAAAGAGCGCACGTAGGTGATGAGACGAAAAGTTTGCTTGTACTCGGGCACTTTGTTTGCGTTCTGTTTTGCCAGAAACAAAGGTCAACGCGAGTGTTTTTATATATATTCGGCTACATGACACCATTATCTGTCCTCTGTGATAAATGTCATGAGAAGAGCAATTCAAAGCCGTGCCCATATCCTCAAACTTGTAATTCCTAGAGGATGGCTATAGATGAATATTCCTAGAACGCCGGTGTGGTGTGATTAGAATAATCTATGCCACTTCCCGTCCCACTCCAGTGAAACGCTACGCCACATGGCGGTCAGATGACCTCTCCCACACAAAACTCTACCGTGGGTAATGCATTATATCAAACCTGTCCTTTCTCCTCGACTCTGAGCCACAGATTACAGGAGAGATTGCATCTTTCCAAGACAGACAAAATCGTGATGAAGCTGAACACTGCCTTGACTATTTAGTAGACCTAGCCTCTATTAGCTCCATTCTTCGTCGGAAAATAGATATGAGATATGTGCTCTTTGTAGAGACCTCTACGTGGTTTTGAGATTCGGTGTATCGGGAGGCAGACTACCTTCACAATCTATCACCCGCAAACAGCTTGCACCATGAAAGGTTTCCCAAAGCAACCTGCTCGTACTGCAGCTCTTTGCTCAAAGTCATTTTTTCTATCGCCGAATCGCCACTAGTTAATCGAATGGTCTATAGCCATAGCAGCGAACGTTATTCTCAACACTAGGTCTATTGCCGCTGCACTCCTTCTACCCGCTTTTATTTCAAAGCCTACGGATCCAATGAAACAAACGTCGATTGCTATAGGCCTAAGTAGTGGAGGGAGTGTTCTACTCGTCGCCTTCTGGGATGATAACGGAAGCCGCATCACTCAACTCAAAAGGGGTGCTAGCCGTCATATTTGTAAAGGCGACAGTCACGGGATTATCCAGCGAAGCAGTAAATTTCGTTAGTTGACAGATCAGGGGTAGCTACCGATGACCTCGTTCCCTGGAAGCGTCTTTTCTTTTTTCGGTTCAGTAATCCTATGTTTATGAGAGAGGTGCGCCCGAAGCCCTCGTGTCTGCTGTTCTCAGCGTCACAGTATTGCAAATACATATTTTGACAGAGCCTGTTGAAACTGCCATTCTACGTGGGAACTCAACGTCAAGCTGCTCAGGCACCATCTGCTGGGAGAGCAACAACCATGCAGAACCCTGCCCACTATATGGCACCTTGTCCGTGCGACTTTATAGCTACACTGCCATACATATACTGGCCGGCGATTCCTTGTGTCGTACATCTGTAATCTTACTTACGTCTAATTTACCCGGGAACGTCAATATATTGACAGCAATCCTCATGATTCCTGCGCAAAGGATCCGAACAACGAATATAGATTTCAGTGTGTCCAACCGTTAGTTACGGAGCCTTTTGGAGGCTGTATAGTACAGTTACGGAAGAGGAGGCTGTTACTAACTAACTGTACAGAGAAGATGACGTTAGTGTATAGTTAGGATACAGTAACTAAAGTATATTAAAGTATTATAAAGTAATTACGCTAAAGCTAAAGACTATACCTAATTAGAAAGTTATAATACCTCTTATAAGATCTACTGTTATTAATCTTACTATTTTAATGTACTCTATAAGCTTAGTTAGCTTACTAGTAATAGTGTTATTATATAACTAATTTTTTTATAGTTAAAAAGCCTTTATTATTAACACTAATAGTTAATTTTTTTTTATTATAATAGTCTTCTTAGCCTATAAAAAGCACTACTTATACTTACATAAAGTTACTAAAATTAATAAGAAATTAAGAGTAATTTTATAAAAAATAAAGTAGTAAAGTTAACTTTACTACTACTACTACTTAAGCAGCTAAGTAAGTAGCTAATTTTTAGTGTACTTATTTTCTACTAAAAAATTAAAGTAAAAGTTTAACTTATTAACTTTCTACCTTCTTTTTAAGCTATAACTTTTGTTATTATAAAGAATAGTAAGGTTAACTAAAAGGGCCTTCTTAAGGCGCTTATTATGTAAGTTACTATAAGCTACTAAAAGCTTTTTTTATAATATCTTTAGTAATACTGCTTTTTTTTTTCTTTTTCTTCTTAAAGGTTTTTAAGTAGTGTGTATAAATCTTTTAAATAAATAACTTTATATGCTTATACTAAGATAAGTAGTGTTTCTAGTAGTCTTTAAACTAAAAAAGGTAAAAAGATAAGTTAAAAATAGTTACTACATAGTAGTAAAAGATCTCTAGCTTTAAAACAAACGTTTTTTAGTACATAGTAAGCTTCTTAATGCTAAAGGCAACGCTGTTTTTAAAGTAGTTACTATAGTGCTTATAAAATAAGCGCTTTCTTTATACTCTAAGCTTATTATTAATTACCTATAAGTATATAATTATTTACTATAAGCTACTATAGCCTAATTTACTAGTGCTGCCTTTAAAGTGTTTAGTTATTTTATAAAAGATCTTTAAAAAGTTTTTTATGCGCTTTACTTTTACTTATTTATTATTAGTAAAGCTGTTAAGTAGAGAATTATAACTATTATTTTTAATATTATTATTAACCTTGTTAGTAAGGCCTATGTTATAGCGCTTAAATTAGATAAAGCACTAAATAGGCTTTTTAAGTTTAAAATAACATAGAATTATAAGATAAATAAAATACTATTAATAAAGCTTAAATTAATTTTAAAAAGCTATATTAGCTAGCTTTTATTTTTATAAGCTTATATTATTACTATAAATAACTGCCTTAATAATAATTTAAATAGTATAGCTAGCGCAGTGTACTTAGTTATTGCTACTAAAGTTAAGGTTTATGTGGAAGTTAAAATAATTAATAAGCTAAATATTATTATTTAACATATTATTTACTATAAAGCAGTAGAATTTTAACTTAATATTATACTTCTAAAGAACCTTAATAATAGTACATGCTTAATTTATGCTAGTCTTGTTACTATATAAGTTTTTAAAGCTAATAAGTAGGTCTTATAGCTAGGTGTTAGCATCTATGTACGCATTTATAAGCTGTATAAGCTAAGTTTAATAGAGCTTACTTACTAATAAAATTTGTAATAACTTTTAGCATTAAAAAGTAGTTAAAACTACTTTACTTATCTAAGCTTAACATAATTTTACTATAAGCTTTATATAATTGTCAGATTTGCGCACCTACTGTCAAGACAGGAGGAACGCTTGACGAAAGCTGCTACATAGTACGAGCAATAAGCTCGAACAGTATGTTGCTGTAAATTGCAGCATTTTGCAGCATGTTGCAGCAAATTGCAGCATTTTGCAGCATGTTGCAGCAGTTTGCAGCAAATTGCAGCAAATTGCAGCATGTTGCAGCAGTTTGCAGCAAATTGCAGAAAATTGCAGCATTTTGCAAGCTGGTCGCGCATAGGGCAAGTGCGCGAGGGACTCGGATCGGCAAAACAAAAAGCCGAGCAACACGAGTAGAGCAGAAAAAGGATCGATAAATCAACACAATCAATACAATCAATAAATCATCCCATACATCATATCCAAACCCATCATTCATCTCAGGAAGCCTAGAAACAGTGCTTCAATCTGACAATAATATAGTTTAAATTTTCTCTTTTTACTTTATAAAACTATTATAAAGATATTATAATAGTATAGTTAAAAAAGTAAGAAAAGTGTTAAAAAAATTAAGTTAATTTTAAGTAATAAAACTTTAATATTTAGCTAAAGTTAATTACTATAGTAACTAATTAGATATAACTACCTAGTTAATAAACACCTGCGCTAGAGCACTCTTCTGCTACAGTGTATAAGCTACTTGCTGCCTTGCTCCTACTACCTCTACTGCTACTATAAAGGGATTTAAAGGCCTTTAAGAGCTATTTAGTAGTACACTAATGTTAGCATTAATTCTATAAACTACTTTAAGATGCCTTACTATATAAATGTTACTATTAATAAGTTTAGCTACTTTTTAAACACTAGCTTTATAGTAAGCTTAATAAAGCTATAGCTACTTCTTCTTACTTACTTTAGTAACATGCTACAGATTTACACTATATTTTTACATAAATAACACTTTTTAGTGCCTAAAAAGTTATAACTTATGCTTTATAACGTATTCCACCACTGAACCCGCCAAACCACTGAACCTGACAAAATCTCTTGGCATTGCAAACACTACATACAAGACGCGATGTCTAAACAACACAAGACTATACTAACTTAGCAAGAAGGCAGAATTATCCTTGCGCTCTAGGCCTACTGCTTACACTAATTTAAACGCGTATAATAAGCTATAGTAGCTTTTAATGTGCCTTATTAGCAGCTTACTACTTAGCTTAATAGAATTATGTTTTAACCTACTATACAACTAAATTACTAGAAACTTACTGCAACTAAAAAGTAAATAATTATATAATATATTCTTAACCTTAATTTATAAGGATTTGCGCCCTAGCTGTGTAAAGTAGTAGATATAGTAAACAAACTATTAGCTGCGCGTAGTAGAACACTAGTAAAGATAAACTAGCCTACACAGTTTATGTCTTATACAGAAAAGCTTAAAATAGCGTTTAATTAAGTAAAAGACTACTAGAGAATACTTTAAAAAGACTTAAAGTTAATTATAAAGTAGTTTAAGCTTATATAAAACATAATAGTAAAATATAGTGTTTATAATAATAATATTTATAACTTTAACAAGACTAGCTTCTAGATAGGCATAATTAGCACTATAAAAGTTATTATAAGTTTAGAAAGACATATAAGGCTTATTTTTATATAGCTAGGTAACTAGAAATAGGTTACTATAATCTAGAGCATCTGCGCTGCTAGCTACACTACCCTACTATTTATTATTTACAAAGGACGCGTCTACATCTCTACCTAGTATAAAAAGATGTTAATACTATGTAATTAAAAGCTATTAGTTTTTAAAAATAGCTAAATAAATAACACACTTAGTCTTAAGTAGTTAAAGCACTTTAATAAGTATATAAAGATGTGTTAGGTAGAGGTATATAGGCTGCTTATACTAGATAGCTATAAGAGCTACCTAAACTAAAATTTTAAAGATTATTACTTTATATAAAAAATTCTTATGCTCTATATGCCTGCGCATTTATTGCATATTCTCTAGCTACTTAACATAGTGTGCTTTTTACTATTAAAGCTTAAGTACTTTTAGTGTATATAAGACTTAGCACGCTAACATGTATAGTATGTTAACAAAAAATGCTTTTTTCTAGCCTTTAAAAACACGTTTTTAAACATTTTTATGTATAATAACTATAAAAAGGCCTTTAAGGCATCTAGACTAGTTTCTATTAACACATAAGTAGTCCTTAATTATCTTAACATGCAGCTGTGTACCTTACTACTAGAACCTCTACTAGAAACACTATAGTAATTAAAGACCTTAAGTAATTTATATAAATTTAGATTATAATTAAAGCTTATATATAATTTCTTTATATAATTACTAATAACAGCATAAGAAAGCTTTTTATAGCTTATAAAAAAAGCTAAAGAGATGCTACATAGAAATATACTTATAAAGGCGCGTGTATAAGAGCTTAAAAAGTAATTAGTAGACATAACTAAGCGTAAGGGGCGTAAAAGAAAGTAGATCTAGTAAGGTAGCATAATAGAGTATAGAACTGCAGCAGCGCAGGTAGCTGCTAAGGCGTCTATAGTAGCTTAGTAGTTAAAGAAGGCTTGTAGTGGTAGTAATTAAGAAAGAGCCTAACTAGCTCTGCAGCGCTGTGGGAACTATAGGGAGACTAGGCACAACGCTTATACATGCAAAAAGGATAAAGAAGAAGCACTAGAATTAGATGCAGGCATGTTGTACATAAGTTCTCTATTTAGTTATAAATAAAATTAGAGTTTTATATGTAGTGTTTACAATGCCAAGAGATTTTGTCAGGTTCAGTGGTTTGGCAGGTTCAGTGGTGGAATACGTTATAATATTTTAGCTAATTTACACTTAATTTAACACTAGAACACTTTATATTATTTTAGTTAATTTTAAAAGTAATTTTAATATTATAGTAAGCATTATTTAAGTGCTCTTTAGCCTAGGTATTTTATATATGCTTTAAAAAAGTTACTTTACGCAAGGATAGCATAGATAGGCTAGGTAAAGCTATATAGGCCTTCTCTAAGTGTTAGAATAAAGCAGCATAATATATTTAAGTAGTAGAACAGCTAGATAAGGCATGTAAAAATAAAGCTTATAAAGATAAAGCTTATAAAAATAAGGCCTATAAAGTAGTAACACACTAAAATAACTATGTTATTAATTAAAATAAAAATTAAAACATGATAATAAGTAAAAAAATAATATAAATAGCATAGTTACTAAATTTATTAAAAAATTACTAATAAAATAAGTAATAATAGTATTCTCTGCATTAATCTTTAAATATAAGCCCTTTAGCCCTTAGTAACCTGCCTTTAACTGCCTAAAACTACTAAAAATTCTATATAACTACTGTAAACAGTTAGTACAGCAGCCTTATGTATAGTACAGTATACTAAGTAGATGCCCTGTACGTACGTACGTGACCAAAATCAGTGTACTGCAGTACTGTACTATTAGGTGTACTAACGGTTGGACACACTGATAGATTTTCCTTTTAGCAAGATCGCAGAAAATGGGCTCGCCAACCTGCGGGAAGCCATTGATAGGTGGACCCCCAATATAATTAAAAGACTTGGGATAGAGGGAGAGGCAGAATTTCCCAATGGTGTGCGAATTATAGCAGCCAGAAGAAGGCCCTGCCGCCACTAAACGAGATTTGTTTGCAGTAGAAGAGAAATTAGTCAGAGAGTAAGATAAATCCCTTATATGTAAGAAGAGATTAAATTGGATTTTGATAGGATAGAACAGTGTTTGTTACAGACTTTTATCAACTTATTGTAGAGCAATCCCCATATCTGTCCTATGAAATCAGTGTCCTGGAAGGGACATCAAAACGGATGCTTCGCCAACAATCCCCAGATTTGCAGTCCCAAAACGCCCATACAGATTGGAATATCCCTCCCGGAATTTATTAAATGTCCTCATGTATTCTCATAGCACAGCAAAGGTTTCGTCACAGAATTGTCGTTTGTTCACGTGACCACGAGCCGTCTGTCTCGTCAGGGGTTTAAGACCCATCACCCCATCCAACGCTCCCTCCTCCTTCATAAAAAGTCGAGTATGTTTGCCCGACAGCCTGTTCTGTTTCGTGCCGTCACAGGCTTATTCTATCGTGCGGAAAATCTGGGCCCCAACCACGCCTCATCCAAAAGCTGCGCCAAAAGCGTAGCATGGCGGATTCCGCCCTTGCAATATTTTGTGGCGAGCATCACGATACTCAAAAGTCGTCCTATTCTTTAGTCCTACGCTACCGTACGTGTCGTTGCTGGCATCTTCGAAGCCTAGTAATAACTCGAAGGAGCTCAGTTCTGCCTCGACTCATCGCCTTCGACAAATGTCACCTCAATTTGAGGACAGATTGCAAGACGAAGAGTCACGAGACATGTGTCCCCTAGAAAGAGGCCGACGTGGACAATTGGACGGTGACGATTCAACAGTACAAATACGAGGCTATCGTAGGGTTCATTGGTTCTGCATCTCCGCACTCACAACACGTCTATATCATCTACCTTTCAACTATCATAATTAAGACTACCACTTCTCAACCTCCTATCTTAGAACCGGCAATTTACTTTCAATCATGGCAGCCAATATTATCCTCAACACCGGAGCCATCGCGGCATCATTGATTCCACTCGCTTTTATCAAGAAGCCTACGGATCCAATGAAACAAACATCGATCGCCATAGGTGTGGGGAGTGGCGGGAGTATCCCGCACGTTGCCATTTGGGGTGAAGATGGCGCTCGCATCTCCCAATATAAGGGAAGTGCGAATGGTCATATTTGCAAAGGAGAGACTTGGCAAACAGTTGTGGACAATTACCAAAACGGAATGAGGCCAGCGAACCCTAGCTATATTTCCGTTGTCATGCAGGAAAATGACGCCATTTGCGTTGCTGCCATATCGGTCTCTGGCAACGGCCAGCAGTGGACTTGGACCGGAGACATGGCTTACACTTGCGGTGCCCAATGGATGGAAAGCGATTACACCTTCCAAGGATCCAATGTGCCCATTCGATGTGCATGGCTAGACGCAGATCATACCAACGGTGTTATTGCAAACGGAATGAGTATGCATATCCAAGATTTCACGGCCGATCCGGGTCTGGTTGCACAGTATCAAGAAAACACGGACAGACTATGCAAAAATACCAAAAGATTCACCTTCTGGCCTGGTACTGTTCCGGATGCGACGATCCCAATATTCACGCCGCCCTTAGAGTACACAAGGAACACGAACGAAAACAACCCTGACCCTACAGCGCCAGATATGTCAGGTTCACTGAAAGAGCCAGATCGTGGAAAAGATAGAGGGAACAGGGCCTACCCCGATGGCACAGACTTGAAGGGCTGGAGCATTGCCCGCAAGAAACGGCACGCGAAGGACTCCAAGAGCCGCAGAGGTATCAAACAAGCCTTAAGTGAAACTCTCGTTGTCAGCCACTTCCCCAGCCACAGCGCTAGAGAGATGTGCGAGGATCCGATGGCTTTCAGTTGGGACTTTGTGTCGGTCCAAGAAGGCCTTCTCTGCGACATGACTCTTCGGAAGCTCTGGCCAGTTTGCACTCCGAGTCTCAAGACAGAGTGCTTCGACGTTTCCAATGTAACTCTGAACGTTGAGGGGCTGCACAAGAGAAGCGATGTACCTAACAAGCATTACACAAAGCAGTATGAATGGGGTCTTACCAACGAGAAACGAGCGTTACTGCCCCCAATGAAACCCACTAAGGATGAGAAGCGATCGCTATTTTCTCGCAAGAAGCGGCCTGGCGACAGGTGCAACCCCAAGGAGTGAGCCACGATGTTCCGATCTGAGACAATATTCTAAGTCCTGCGATAGGTGAGAGCAGGGTCCTGGGTAATGTTCAAGATCGTGGGACTTGAGATAGGGAGCAAGCCAGCCACAGGACTAGATCAAGATAAGTCAGATGATGCAAATTGTGGTTTCATAATCATGCAGCTATGCGAGAAGCTGATGGAGTGAGGTGTATTGTGCGTAAGTGCTCTCTGGCAGAGTATTTATTTACATCTATAACAGTAGGGGCAGTGAGGGCCATGGCAATAGCGAAGAGGCTATAGTGAAGGTAGTAGGAACAATAGTAAGGGCAGTAAGGGATGTTGTAGCACAGGGAAGGAAGATTTCTGTGTTAGGAATGCGACACCCCCCTAGATAGTTTATGCAATGAATTATCTATATACTGTATACAGTGTAATGCTCTTTCTGTTAATTATTTCTATCTAGCAGCACAACAATTTTTAAACTAGTTTCTTAGATAAACTTAAAGTGCTTAAGTATAGTAAAACTGTTTATAAGTCTGTCTGCTAGTATTTAATCTATTTTAGTTTAAATAACTTTAATTTATCTCTTCTAAGCCTTCTGTTAAAGCTACACGTAGTAGATGTAAATGTACAGTCACCTACTAAAAGTTATTAGCCACTCAACAACCTAAGCTCTGCAGGGGTATAGTGAGCCTATTTAGAAAAGAGGTTACTTAGCTAATTACTACCTAAATTAAAAGATTTTTGTTTCTATAAGAAGCCTACTTTTAGGCTTATCTTCTAGTGTTATAGTTACTTAATAGTAAGTTAGCTTGCCTTTATTTTAGATAAATTTCTTTATGCGCTTTAACTAACTTAGAATACTCTTTTTTTTTATTCGCTAGTGTAATATTTGCCTATTCTTCTATAAGAATATCTACTATTAGCTTATAAGTAGTAATAATATTCTTGTTACTTTAAAATACAAAGCGTTATAATCTACTAAGAGTTTTAATTAAGTTTAAATTAGAACTTTATAAAGGCTAATCTATCTATATTATGCTATAGTTATCTATATACTTTTAGATAGCCTTTATAGTATAAATAGAGGCTCTATCCTACATGTATATGCTAATACTGCGTTTCTCTATAAGCTGCTTATAAAATAAGATGCTAATAGTATATAGAATCTAGTAGTATTTATTAGTATTATTATGCTTACCTTTTTAGTTAATAAACCGCTTTAATTTAAAATTAAAAGAAATTACACTAAATATAAAGACTATAGTTCTTCTAAACTTAAATATAAGCTTTAGATACTAACTCTTATACACTTTTCTATACTACTACTACATATATAGAGGTTTAGTGTTAAATCTAACTTTAACTATTATTTTATTATAATAGGCTATGTAAACTACATTACTACTCTTTCTATATTAATAAATTTAGGTAAAGTAGAGTTATTTTTCTTTATATATAGCTAAGAGCTAAAGGTTGTAACATAGATAAACAGCATAGTACTTATATTTTACAAGAGATCTTTTTATAATACTAGCATGTATGTAGCAGTAGGTTTTTAACAGTGTTGTAATAGTCTAGAGTATAGTAAAGAAATTATTTACTACTTAGTAAATTAAATGCCTTTTAGCGCGTTAATTAAGACTTAGAGCCTAGCCTGTACACAGGGATGTTGTATAGATAGGCAAAGGCTGCTTGCGCAGCTAGCGGATGTTATATGTAATTGTTAACTTAAGAATGCTAAGATGCTTTAAAATTTTGCTAGCGCTTACGCTGTAAAGGTAAAATTGCTATATTATATTAATAATAGACTTAGATAACTCTTTGCGTAAGAGTTTATTTACTTTTGTAACTACTAAAAAAGTAGTAATTTAATTAACATACACTACAGGCGAGTTACTTACAAACCTAAGTTACTTGCTTTTACTAAGACTACACTAAACTACTATTTTTACACTAATGTATTTCTAATAACACTACTTACATATAATAAAAAGTATTAGATATAGCTTATATTTTAAGCTTTTAAATAAAATATAACACTTTTAAAGGAATATATATTAGAGCTATGTACAAAGCTCTTTAAAAACAATAATAAATAACTAATATAACATACTTTATAGGCAAGTTGCTTACACACCTAAGTTACTTACTTTTGCTAAGACCCTACTAAACTACTTTTTTTACACTAATGCATTCTCTACAACACTACTTAGACGTGCTAAAAAAATGTTAGATATAGCTTACACTCTAAGCTTTTAAATAAGACATAAAACTCTTTAAAAAATGTGCTATAGCTATGTATAAAGTCTTATAAAAGATAATAAATATCTATAGCGCTAGACAACCTTTATAAGCTAATTTTACAGCTAAATTATAAAGGCTAGGCAATAAAAAGAAGCAGGTAATTATTAAGACTATACTTAAGCTATATGTGTAAGGAATTTCCCCTTAAATAGCATTTATAGCTAATATAGCTAATTCTTTGCGCACTAAGCGTAATCTAGGCTATGTTTATATAAACTAGCCTAGTATGTTTGTAAAGTGTTATTTAAAGCTTAAAGTAAAGTTTTAAGTGCAAGTATAGTTAAAAGATATTTAGCTAATTATAAACTTTATCTTACTAAAGTTATACGTGTTATTATTCTAAATGCTATACTTAGCTTTAATATTCTCTATAAGGCTAAACTTGCTCTAAATTACTTTAAAACTCTTATAAAAAGCTCTTTTATAGTTATACTTACACTTAAATATTACTTTAAGCTCTAAATAACGCTTTATAAACATACTAGGCTAGTTTATGTAAATATAGCCTAGATTATGCTTAGCGCGCAAAGAATTAGCTATATTAGCTATAAATGCTATTTAAGAGAAAATTTCTTGCGCATATAGCTTAAGTATAGTTTTAATAATTACCTGCTTCTTTTTATTACCTAGCCTTTATAATTTAGCTGTAGAATTAGCTTGTAAAGGTTATTTAGCGCTATAGTTATTTATTATTTTTTATAAAACTTTGCATATAGCTATAGCACATTTTTTTAAGAGTTTTATGTCTTATTTAAAAGCTTAGAGTGTAAGCTGTATCTAACATTCTTTTAGCACATCTAAGTAGTGTTGTAGGGAATGCATTAGTGTAGAAAGGGTAGTTTAGTAGGGTCTTAGCAAAAGTAAGCAACTTAGGTGTGTAAGCAACTTGCCTGTGAAGTACGTTACTAAATAACTTTTATAAGTTAATTCTATAGCTAATATAGCTAATTCTTTACATGCTGAGTATAAAGTAGGCTATATTAATATAAAATAGCTTAGTATATATCGCAACTACTAATTAGAGAGCAATGAGGAGCAAGTGTATTGACTACAAGAAGCTCATAGAGAGTCTGCCTATGTAGCGGGAGCTTAGGCGCGAAGCGTCTTAGGCTGCTTGTTCTAAACACTGGCGCGACACCAGGCTCATGTGCGCAACACTAGGTCCCTGTGCTCTTCTTACGCGATAGTATATTTATAAAGCATTATTTAAAGCCTAAAGTAAAGTTTTAAGTATAAGTATTGTTAGTAAATATTTAGCTTATTATAAAGCTAATTTTATTAAAGTTATATATGTTATTATTTTAGATACTATCATTAGCTTTAAATTACTTTAAAAAATTTATAAACAGCTTTTCATAGTTATAGTTATACTTAAACTTTACTTTAAGCTTTAAATAACACTTTTAAAACATACTAAGCTAGTTTATACTAACATAGCCTAGATTACACTTAGTGTGTAAGGAGCTAGCTATATTAGCTATAGCTACTAGCTAAAAGAAAAATCCTTACACACCTAGCTTAAGTATCTAGCTTTTATAAGTTAGCTATAAAATTAGCTTATAAAAATTATCTATTATATTAGTTACGTATCATTTTTTAAAAGATTTTATATATAGCTATAGTATATTACTTTAAAAATGTTATATTTTATTTAAAAGCCTAAAGCATAGGCTGTATTAAATATTCTTTTATCCAAGTAGTGTTGTTAGAAATATATTAGTGTAGAAAGAGTAGCTAAGTGTAGTTTTAGTAAAAGTAAGTAACATAGGTGTGTAAGCAACTTGCCTGTAGTGTACGTTAATATTAACTATTAAAACATAATAAATATATAGCTGCAAAGCCTTCTACTGAAGAAAGGGGATGTTGGTCTTCTATTAAATATATAACCCACTCTATAACCTATTGTTGCAGTGGATTTATATCCTGTCCTATGTTGTTTACTGGCTTCCTACTGCCCCTCTCGTATCACCTCTTTTGTCTGCATTGCTCCGTACTTCCAACATCCGCCTGCACCAGAAACGAACTCTGCGGCCCCCCTCATCCACTGTATAACACAAGGCAGGCTGAGCTAGCAAGGTGGCTGTGGTACTGTGTAGAGGTCGAATTCACAGCTTGTTGGAAGATGTCAAGGGTTAAAATATACGCAGCACGTTTATGCAACTTTTACACCAAGGGCCGTTCCACGTCCTCCCGTCATTCAGGAATGGTCGTGGTTGACGGTATGAGATTGAATGAAGCTCTGCGCCGAAAAATGAGCGGCTTGTTCGGGATTGGTGAAAAATCTGTTCCCAGATACACAGGATCGTGCTCAGCTTTTTTATAGATCTCTCCGAGCTTTCCATAGAGGTCTTCCGCAGTGTCACGGGATTTCACTTCGGCCAACAGAAGCTTTTCTTCAATATGGCTGAGCAAGGCGGTCAGAGCTGCACTCTTTTTGCATCTCTCGTCGTCCCGGATTTCCTGTATGGCCATGACTACCTTAGGGTGAACCATGCTTTTCCCTTCATGTATCTTATAAAAAGGATAATCAAGCGGGTCTCTCGTAGAAGTGAAATTTTCGATTGCTTTCTCGTCGTACAGCAACCAAATGATGAATTCCAGAAAGATGCACCCTAGCGACCAGATATCATATTTACGAGACCTTGCCGTAGTTTGCTTTATCCCTGCTTCGGGGGCTTCGTATGACCGCGTTGTAGCCACTGATTTTGTAGGATCACGGCGCATATTTGTCTTCTGGTGACCATGAACTCGTGACACGCCGACGTCTGCAGTAACTAGGATCCCTTTGCTTCCTCGGCCGAAGTGGAGAATGTTTTCTGGTTTGAGATCACCATGACGAATGTTTCGGCTGTCATCATGTAGTTCTTTGAGGGCACTTGTAATGCCAAGTATCTGTCGAAGAAACCATAATACTAATTCTGGCGTCCGTGGATTACTGTCTTCGTTTTCCCAGAAGTCCTTTAAACTCCCACCGCCTGCCCATGGGAAGACAACATAGTATACAGGCCCCTTTTTGAATGTGGCAAAATGTCTTATCAAGTGGGGATTGCCGATTTTCTGAATGACGCGAAGATTCTCTAGTTCTTGGTTGAACTCATCCTCTTTCTTCATTTCCTTTACAGCCACTACATGTTTGTTGTCCTGTAACTAACTTTTTTAGTTAGTGACTACTAATCTTCAAAGACATGGGAGAACCTTACATCGATCCCTTGTTGATGGCTCGCTTGGAGTGCGGTTCGGTACACGGTGCTGTGGTGGCCGGCCCCGATGGGTTCCATCTCTATGAAAGGCAGGGGGCATCTCTGGTCGAGTGTGGTGTGCTTTCCAGCCGTGTCCAATACAGGCGCTTGGACAAGCCATTGCTTTTCCAGAAAGTCTTTCGTGAGCTTAGTGGTTTCATGTTTAAAAGCAGAAAATGACTTGAACTTAGTGCCATTCGCAGACACTAGAACATTAGACTCTTCCCCATCATCTCGCGATAAGGGCAGGTGCGTGTCTGCAATTCCTTCGGCAAGCAGGTCCTTGATTGCTATTTCTTTCGCAATAATTACAAGAATAGCGAAAACTCTCTTCGCATTCTGAACCACCTTCTCCGGCAGACGGCGCTTGAGCAATCGAACTTCGAAAGGTAGCGCATCTTTGACAGTTTCCTTTGTAATCGCCCTATCGAGGTCACTTTGTGGAAGAAAACTCTGGAGACCCATAGTATTGGGGCATTCGACTAGTAATGAGCTAAGCTCATTGAATAGCCTCTCTGAAGGCATCTGGTTGGTTGGAATTATGGTATTAAGCTCGAATTCTGAGCAACAGGAGGGATTGTAGGAGTCTGAATGAACTGGCGGGGAAGTCTGTCGATGATGCCATGCGGCTCTATCGTCGGCTAAAGCTCAGACGTGGTTGCCTAATGACATGTTCGATTGCCTTAATATAAATATGGCCTTATTGGAGACAATTGATTGACCAATAGTATGTCTGTCAAAGCCGGATTGGTTCTGACAGCTGCAGATGTTGTGGATATCACCGAATCCGTGCGGGGCATGCATATTTCACGCACACCTTATCAGTCGCCTTGAGAACTCAGTTTGAGTCATCTGCACATGCAATTCGTCAGACACACGTTTAGCGCAATCATCCTCAATGATGCTGCACCCATCCGTATCGGCGATAAGGGACCAAAATGCGGGGCCACCGGTCACCATCCGGTGTGCCCTATCTATGAACCTTGGAGTCTGCCAAGTATACTCTCCTTTCCTGTGGCGTTCATTCGGGCGAGCTGAAGTATGGTTATTCCCAATCAAATGAAGACACGTCCGGTAGTGGACCTGGGGCTGCTTTGACAGAACGAAAGGAGCAGAGGAGGGTAATAGGCTGCGGGAGTTTCCAGCTAGCCGATACCTTGGTCCTTCATTTGGGGATCCACAGAGTTGCAGATGGTGGGCTCGGAGGAGTTCGCAGCGTGACATCTTGGGGATGATGCGCCAATTGTGGGGGATAAGGGGACCGTTGCCGCATTGCATTATGTTGAGTATGATTGTTGTGTACAGATGGAAAGTCTATCTACCCTCGTATATAAGCTATGTTCATCGCTTCGTGTACGTAAATTATAACCTGATCCCTTAATCCTCATTATTTTCTCGTCTCTATCAAGTTCTCATTCCATTTTCACACGACGTAGGGAGTTTCTGACACTGACTACAAGTCCGGCATATGCAAGCGAGATCGTCCGCATGCTGCCAGTAACACGAAGGAACACCGAAGACGGGTATCAGAGGACTCCCTCGCTGACAAAAATCCACAATTCGCCTTAACAAAAACAAGTACCTTCAGAAGCTTCTCCTCCGAAAGCTCAACAAAATCGAAGTCCAGTTTTTCGACGTTATCAAGAAGAAGTAGCGGACAAAGTGTAGCTTCCGTGTCCAAGAAAATTATTCGTGGCGCTAGGAAGTTGAATAACGGTCGAAACGACATGGAAACTCCTTGGTCAGACCCGCTTTTAAGCGGTATTTATTTAGGAATGATCCTAAAGGATGAACCAAATTTGCAATTCGTCCCCAACGGCGTCCTTGACAAACTCGTATGTGAGGATGCCGTTAAAAAGGTTCTTGAGAAGCATCGATCAAAGCTCAAGACGGACATATCCACTTTAGCGGTGTTTGTCTGCACTCGGGCAAAACGATTATTTGCGACTCTAGTGTTTGCCGAAGTTGAGTATCTGATCGACAATTTCTATGAGCACGACTTCGAAGACGAGAAGCTCCCTGTGTCATTGAAAGGGGGCACTGAAAGGGGAATTTGGAAGGTGGAGGCATCTCTTCTCAAGGATGAAAACAAGATAATTAACGCTCATCCTTTCAATGACAGAGAGTTTTGGACCCACCGAAAGATTGCCGACTTCCAAAACACCTATCAATGGCCGTTCCTTTGCCCGGTATTCGTCAAAGATCAGTTTGAATATCAATTTCATGGGAGATTTAGAATGCCTTTTCTCGATGAAGAGAGCATAAGCTCCAAGGAGAGCATTTTTAGCACTGTGGAGGAGTGGCGGATTCACCGCGATCATATCGAGATCGACGAGTTCATGGTAAGGCTATGGCCGGTTTCACCTGACAACTGGTTTCTTAACCTATCTGTGCCTGGGGCTGATTCTTACCGAAAATAGGGCATGTCTCTTGATCGCGACGATCACCCTCGTGTTGCGGTTAAATCACTGAAGAAGCCAAGCTGGAGCGATGCTGAGTTTGAAGCTGTCGTCAGAGCCGAAGTCAGGAATTTGAAGATGCTAAGGAACATAAATCACCCGCACCTGATCAGAGCTATTGCCTACTACAAGCGGGGTAAGAAGCACTATATAATGTTCCCGTGGGCCGGTCAAGGCAGTCTGAGGAAACTTTGGGAAGATGATCCTCCAGCCCTTGATCCACGGTATTTAAAATGGTTCTTCACACAGCTCTGCGGTCTATCTGAAGCGATCGCGAGGCTGCATCACCAGCCCGACGAAACACCATTTAGCAGTCCACAACCAAATACTGGGAGGTCTTTGCGTCATGGTGACCTTAAACCAGAGAATATCCTTTGTTTTGAAAATTCCGCGGAACCGAGCGATAGGAAAGCACATCAATGTGTTCTCAAGATCACTGATGTGGGCCTTTCGAAACCGCACGACACGGTAACACAAATGCGGACAGCAGGCACCCGCACCATGGCTGGAACTATCATGTACGAGCCCCCGGAAGTAGAGCTAGAGAAAGACAAACCTAGGTCCCGCCGCTACGATATATGGTCAATGGGATGCATATACCTTGAGTTCCTTATATGGATTCTATATGGCTCCAAGGGCTTGACACGTTTCAACCAAGACCTAAGTGTACTGGGCACTACCACAAGATTCTACCACATTGATGAAAAGACGAAGACAGCTCAACTCAACAAGGATGTTCAAAAGTGGATCGATTATATAAAACAGGAGGACCTAAGATGCTCCGAGAATACTGCCCTTCGACGCTTACTCGAACTCATCATCGAAGGGTTGCTGGTTCCTAACGTCCATAACCCAAGTGTTAAGCGCACACGGACCTTGCGCCCCGATGCGGGTTTTACAACACCATCCGGCCTCTCTATCACCGTCCGATCAGCCACCTTTTGCTCTGAGAACGCAGAAATCGAATCATATGGAGGTAGACTAGCGGCAAATGACATGTACGAGCAGATAAGAGAGATATTAAATGATGCCATCTCATCTGAAATCGAATGGATGAAATGGGACGCCCCAACCCAACAAGGGCCAGGGCTATATGGAAACCAACTGGACCCTTCCAACGCCGTCAAACAAGGATTCCGTAACCGAGAGGTACACTAAGCCAACCCAACCATTTGGTGAACTAGCATTCTAATACGAATGGAATAGAATGTGAGTGAGGTGCACAAGGAGTTCTCAAAAGTTAAGGTTGCTGACCTTAACCTCGATTGAACAGGAGGTATGTCTATCCCTACGCGATGCTAGACAACCTGATCATCCTTGAGCTTATCTCACTCATGATCTAGTATGTAAGTAGTGCGTGCAGTAGACTAGGACAAAATTTGTAAAGGAACTAACGTTGGGCTTCATCGGTGACCGTAGAGAGTAAGACCCTATTCCACATTATTTTGCGTTGATACCTAAGAGCTATGCTGACAAATTCTATTAAATAGTTTGTAAGTTAGGTCTCGTGAACCTAAGAGCCTATACCTTAGTACCTATACTAACGCCTTAGACCGTATGTGATTATTCTCCGATCGGCTCACTGATAACAACATAAGTTCGACAGTCTCATATCTAACAGTTTGACCTAGCCGGTAAGCTGGTTTCAGGTGGTACAGTTTGGAATAACACTAAATCGATTAGTTTGACGATAAGTGGGACTATGCCCCCGATACCGAGTCAGCGGAACGATTATTCGCGGATCCCATCTTCCGAGCCGGACTACCACGAAAAAGTGAGGATTCTAAGCTTTGCAACAGATGCGGCAGCCTACGACTATGGCTTCCGACTTGCACTTTTTCGGATTCACTAACAGGTCTGAGTGAAAAATCGAATTACTGCAATCTTTGCAACCTCCTGTTGCACCATGTGGATGGATTTGGCTCTAGAACATCCGGTAACGTTCAGTTCTTTCGGATTGGTTCCTTTTTGACCTCCAATAACGCACCACAGCAGCCAATTGTTTCCCTTTATACTTTGCCAGGCAAGTGTGCGCCATGCAAATCCAGCACACATAGAGGCACTAAGAGTGGTTCTTCTAGGTCTTCAGCTTGAAGCACGTTCACCTAATATTCAGATTGGCTTGCCGCAGTTTCCTGGTGCAGGAAGTATATCGCATATCAAGCTGCTCACCGAGTGGATTCGTAGCTGCGACGAAACTCACAAATGCTTGCCCAGAACAGACTCCTTCCTTCCAACTCGGGTAATTGATGTCGGCAGTAAAGACTCTCCCAATGTTCGGCTGTTCTGCGACACGCAAGACCGACCTGGAAAGTACCTAGCGCTGTCGCATCGCTGGGGATCACCTACACAAAACAAGAAATTTTGCACTGAAAAGGATAATCTCAAGAAACATGAGGAGGGCATACGTATCGCCGATTTACCGAAAACATTCCGCGACGCGATACACGTGACCCGAAATCTTGGTGTTCAGTATCTCTGGATTGATTCACTCTGCATTATTCAAAATGATGAAAAGGACTGGGAAGCAGAGTCGAAACTTATGGAGCAAGTATTCAGCTCAGCATATGCTACGATTGCCGCTAGCTGTGCCAATGGAACGGATGATGGCTTCCTCAAGTCTCGAACAGAGCGGCGGTGCGTGACAATGACTAATAACGCTTCCGGTTCGAAGTTCTACCTATGCAACGCCATAGATGATTTTCACAATCATGTGGACCAAGGAGAGTTGAACAAGAGAGGATGGGTATTGCAAGAGAGAGCCTTGTCGCGCCGAACCATCTACTTCACCGAGAAGCAAACTTACTGGGAGTGCGGAGAAGGTGTGCGATGTGAGACACTAACTAAGATGAAAAAGTAAGTATAAATCTATATATAACTACGACGCAGAGCCTAGCTTCTCCAATGTCGGGCGGCTAATATCTGGCAGTGCAAGAGCATCCTTCCTAGGAGACGCGAACTTCCCTCATTCCGTCGACGACTATGTCAAAGGAAAGAAAATCAAGCTTTGGCAAGGCCTATACGAACATTATTCGAATTTAGCCCTCTCTTTCAAGGTTGATAGGCCTGTTGCCATTAGGGGCCTGGAAAAGCGACTTATACGTACCCTGGCAACGGTGGGCGGATACGGTGTTTTCGACTTATTTCGTCATCGCAGTCTTCTATGGCAGCGATCGGGCGATAAACTGGCTCGAATATCATTCCTGAAGGATCGTCACGACTCCATCCCTTCATGGTCGTGGATGGCATACGACGGTGGGATCAAGTACATGGATGTTCCTTTTGGAAAAGTAGTCTGGAATGAAGATGTCTCCTCGCCTTTCAAGGCAGGAAATCTCGATTCAGGAGCAGAAGGAAGGCTACCCCTCGATATTGAAGCGCCGATTTGCGGGCTGAATGAGGATGCAAATCGTCATTTAATTCTTGACGAACCTGGCTGTAACTTAACCAAGCCGCTCAAGTGCGTGATTATTGGATCAAACCAGGACTCAGAGCAGGATAAGAATCGTGTACATTACGTCTTGGTTGTCACACTTGTCTTTCGGGGTCTCACTAGGATCTATGAAAGAGTTGGCGTTGGCATACTGAACAGCGAGCAAATTGTGCAGGCCGAAGTTGGGGAAACGGTTCACATCAGATAGTTGGTATCACTTATTTTTCCTTACTATAATGGCTATGAAACGTGACACTCGTGATGTAGAGCTTAACTGCATTTTCAAACTCTTATAAGAGACATGCTTTATTGTTGTAGTTCTAGGTATATAGGCGCAAGGTTAATAACTGTATCTAGTACTATATTAACTATATTTGCAAAACTACATTCCTACTAGCTATATATATAGCCTTTTATAAATCTATTATAAAGAAGAATATCTATATAGGCTTTTAAAATACTAGCTTACGTTTATTTAATCTAAATATAGTACTATTACACTCTGTAGTTATTAGGAATTTAAAACTAGGTCTAAAGGCATTATAATAGCTTACCTAGTTCTATTATTAAATTAATTATTCAGGTTGCTAAAGACGCAAAGGTAATACTCTATTCTAGAGTATTATTTTCTAATTTTAGCTTTAAAAAGCTAATAAAGCAGCTATGAAGTATAGAAAGCGTAAAAGGAGGTAGATTTAAAATAACAGTATCTTAATAATACTAGAAGTCAAGGCTATAATTGCCTAGAAAGATGTAGATAGGTAGATTAAAAGTAAGATATATTACAGTAGAGCAGGGGTAGGTATAAGCCGGAAGGCTTTGGCACGCTATAGACGCTATAAGGAACAAGGACATAATTCACGTACATATAAGAAAGATACAGCAAATACTAATTAAGCTTAGATAAGTGCTATACTGTCACGGTCAGGCTTGGCGTTGGCTGCTTGCGGCCATATCGGACTAGAATGGACAAAGAGCGATCAGAAGGATGCAGCGAGGCATTGAAGGATGCAGCAAAGCATAAAACAAAGCAGTAGCGTGTATATAAGCAGTACCAAATCTCTGCTTTAGAGGGCAGCGATTCGTCGAAGTCATTTACCTAGATTATAACTATTCAAGGTCTGAATAAACTACGTTGGATAAGAGCAGCTCAGCCTGTCTTTAGTACATTGCACATCTATTATTTCAAGGCGTTGTTAAGGTATCGGGCTGAAGATACGTAAAAGGTTGGTTGGGTGGCCAACTTTCTAAGAATCTACGTTAGCGAAAACTTATCTCAGGTGCTTAGCAGACTGTGCAGAGAAGCTTAGTGTTGTGTCTTCTTCTCTTTCCCTATTTTCTTTCACCAACCCATGCTTAGCTATATTAGCGACTAGAGTTGTTATTAATAACTAACCTAATTAATTAAATTAACTTATTTTACAAGCAAAGAGGTCTATATAAGTAAATAGTCTACTGTAACAAGATTTCAGCACTTAATGCTTTAATTTATACTATGTCTACTAATTAACATTTAATATACTAATAAAAAAAGTTTTATACTTTTAGCTTTTTATATAATTTAAAAAAAGTTATTTTTAAAGTATTTAACTTACTATAGTAATTTATAAAGTTTTTAAAACTATAGTTTTTTAAAAACTTAATAGTAAACTTTTATAATATAATTATAAAGCTAGTTAACTTATAAAAATTAGTTACTATAGTTAAAGTATATACTTAACTTAAATTAATAAAGATTTTTTTTCTTTAAGGTATAAAAAATATATTTAATAAACTATAAAGCTATTATAGTCTAAGCTAAGTTAAAACATGTTAGTGTAACGCGAAACAAAGTTAGCGGTACAGCGCTCTCTAAGTTTGTTCCAGGGGTGCAGGAGAGAAGAGAGCCGAGTACCAACACTTTTCCGCTAAGTGCAACTCCATGTAAAAGCCTCTACTTATCGCTCCAAGGAAGCCCAGTCTTGGTTCTAAACCAGTGCTAGGAACTAGACCTAGACAAAGATTTATCCTTAGACTTATAGTTAGACCTAGATACTGTAACGATTCTTATGAATCGTTCCATCTCGGGTTGCCCGGAACCTATCCGAAGGGTCCCCGTATCAGCCCCGACCCTGACTCGACCTGGCCCCGACCCTGCCCTGCCCCCTGCTGTTACCCCTATTCCCCCAAGTATTTAGTCGCACCTCTCTCCTGTAGCTAGCTTGATAGTTTTCTGATATCCTTTCGTACGAGGCCTATAGGTGTCAATGGTATTCCTAGGTCATTGAGTCCCCACGCACTCCCATATGCCTCTGAGTGGATTCCTACCGCATTCGGATCCATGTCTTGCCTGCGCCGCTACAGATACTAAGGTGGATACAGATACTAAGCTATACACTAGTAAGCCTAACAGTTCTGGCTAGGGAAGCTAAAAAAGCCACAATGCTTGAAAGCGGACCAACCTAGCCTCTACTAAAGGAAATCATGCTGGAAGTGTTGTGAACGCTATTCGAGAGGGGGCAAATGGCAAGAGATGAGATTAAACGAATCCGGCAGAAGGACCCGGAGGATTCTACCCAACTGCTCCACTGGCTTCAAGTACAATGGAACGACATAACGCCAAAAACTCCCTTGGTGACGCTAACCGAGATCATATCCACGAATACTTGGGCGCCCATGGACGGAAATCTGAGGGGCGGTCTCGATATGATGGCGGTCTCATGCAGAGTTGTCAACAAACAAAATTGACTCCAGGGTTTGATTTGTTTGAGGCCAATTTGGGTTAGTTAACTGCCTGTATAGGATTAACCCCTACCTCACTGGGCAAGCGGCACCCTCAAGAGTGAATTGTTTTCTTTTGTTGACATCTCTGCTTCAACCGTACTATCAAGTATCCCGGCACCCATCCGAACCTGTAAGAGGACCGTACACCCTCTTCCAAAGCTTGTTCTACCCTTCCTATCGCTCCATCTTTACCCTTCACGTGATCAATCGTCACCGTGACTTGTTGCAAATTGGTGTTGCGTGACCATGCAGGTATGTGAAAAGCTAAAGTGTAGTGTTCTAGTCTCAGTGCTTTGCTCCTAAGTATTTATTTACATCTATTGCAGTAAAGGCAGTAGGAGCTACAGTAAAGGTCGTAGGGGCTATAGTAAAGGTCGTAGGAGCTGTCGTAGTAAAGCAGTAGGAGCCGCTATGGCTCCAGGGAAGGAAGGCTTCCATATCAGGTGTTACGACGGTCTGTTTGACAGGGAACACCGCCGGAGCCGACCCTGCGAGAGAAGGACGGACTGACGATCGCGTGACTTGGCCGGATCAGGTGATGTGCTCGCAGGCCTGCCTGATACATGGCAAGGCTCGCTGGTGTTTGGGCGCCAAGAAGTGCGGCGGGCGCCAACGAGCACTCCACGGTATATAGATTCGGCCTCCCTGGACCGGGTCGTAGTTATAACGTAGCTTACATGGCACAACCTAGGTAGGGCAATCTACTTTGGCACCCTTCTTGTATTGAAGCCCCAGACCATTCTCTTACTCCATCATCTACTGAGAGCACGGAAGCATAACAGGATGTGTTGCACATAGAGAGGTTGTGTGAGCATGCAGCTATGTAAGAAGATGATGAAGTGAAGTGTATTGAGTATTGTATTGTTTTCAACATTTAAGTGCTCTGCTCCAGAGTATTTATATACATCTACGACGGCAGGGGCAGTGAGGGCCATAGTGAAGGTAGCAGGAGCTATAGTAAGAGCAGTAGGGGCTGTTGTGGCACAGGGAAGGAAGATTTCTGTATCAGGAATGCGACAGGACGCTCCTGCTACCCGGTCGGAACAAACTACGTATCGACTCTCTTATACTCTCCCTACCCTTCCCCCTTTCTCTGACCATAGTCACCGCAATCAGCACTCGGGCAACCGAAAGTGTCAGGTGAGGAATGCGTCACTTAGTGTGCTAGCAGGGATAAAAGCCAAGCGGTCTCAGGAGACTGGCGAGCTAACTAAATAGGGAATCTTACGTACGCATTGGCATCCGAAATCAATCAACCCCTTCCACCACAACCAACATCGTCTCTTTCATCATCCTCCCCCAACCGGCAACCTCTTCCTTAGGCCGCAATGGCGATTTTGCCTGGATTTCCGCTTCTTCCCGACAGCGATGACGACGAGAATGTTGTTGAACTACCGAGCGGGCAACTCGTTTGCTGCCGACACGCTCTTGTTGTCTGCGGTAAATGCTGTGTTGATTTCAGCTTCATGACAGAGGGTGACACAGACGACGACTACGACGATGAATCCCAACCTGATCAGGAGTCAAACGACGAGGAGGATCCCATGGATCTGGACGCTGACGCAGAATCTCCTCAAGCACCTCTCACGGGACAAATGTTGGACAGTTTATTGGGCCAGCCAAGGAAGCGAGGAACTGGCCGTGTCCTGCCTACGAAATTCACCCCTCCGACACCTACCACCACTCCATTGGCCTTGTTCCACGGGGTCAACACATATTTTTACTTTGCTCGCTACGTCCATCGCGAAGACAGTTCCAAAGGCCTAATCTTCACCGACGGTGCTTGTCTGGATAACGGAAAGTCGAACCCCCGTGCCGGATGGGGCTTCGTAGCGGGCCCTCCCGAGCTCATTGGAACCTATTCTTGTGGTAATGTCCAAGGCCGCCTCGAAAGCAAAGGTCCCTTTGGAGACGACGGCGCTCAAACTAGTAATCGAGCGGAGCTCCGCGCTGTTTGCGCTGCGCTTGGATTCCGACACTGGCCCGGTGAGGGATTCAAGACGTTGGTATTTGCCACGGATTCGGAGTATGTGGTTGAGGGGGCTACGAAGTGGGTTCAGGGGTGGTTGAAGAATGGATGGAAGACCGCAAAGGGGGGGTCGGTGAAGAATAAGGACCTGTGGGAGATGCTGCTTGGTCAGGTGGAGAGGTTTGCAGATTATGGGATGAAGATTGAGTTTTGGAGGATTGGGCGTGAGTTGAATACTGTGGCTGATAAGTTGGCGAAGGAAGGCGCTGCGATTGAAGATGCACCCAAGGACTACAGCCCAGTTGTGGGCATTTGATGTCGCACATGCTACCGTACCCATGCTCTGCACTATATACACTCATTAAGACTAACTCCTCTGCCGTACACTATATAGTCGGCTCGGAGCTCTTCGGACCTTACAGACCTTACAACACACTCGTTTTGTACACATAGTTTGGCTCTCGCCCAGGTGGCCTCGCCTCTCTCTCAAACCCCCGACTGCCCTTCGCGAGAGTTGTGAGGCAGGAGTAGGGGTCTACTAGCTGCTCACTGAGGTTGTACGCTTTCTTATAAGACACGTTATACTATATTTTTTTACTGTCTCTATTTCATAGAGGGCCGGGGATCGGCATAAATATATAGCTTACTACTTTGCCACAGCAAAGAATCGCGTAAGGGAGCACAGGGATCCTGTGCTCGGAACTCATGCGGGAGCGGGGGATCCAGTGTCGCGTAAAGGAGCACGGGATCTTCATGCAGAAGCGCGGGATTCCGTGTTTGGGGCTTATACTTAGACGTGCAGCCCGAAACACTTGGCGCCCGAGCTCCCACTATCTGGGCAGGCTCTCTCAGAGCTTCTCGTAGGTAATGGACTAGCTCCTCATTGCGCTCTGATCGACTTTGCGACACAAAGCTTACCCCAGACTAAACAATAAGATGTCCACACGTGCAGAATTCCGCGTTAACATTTTGCCACTTGAGTCTAGCCAGCGGCAGACGAACGTCTTAATCGTGCTAGCAGGGAGGACAGTCGACCTGCTCTAACTCTGACCTTGTTGAAGTGCGTACAAAAAAACCAGCTGCCGCAACAACTCACGGGATGGAACGTCACAATAAGGACTCCCTCTTCCTCACTTGCTGTCCATCTCGCCACCCGCATATTCCTCCGAACCCATGCACACCCTAATACCCATCGCTCCCCCCCATCTCCATCATTGCGACTATAGATTACACAAACACATGGCTGGCCGACGTCTGCGCTGCGGGCGGCGATTTGGAGCCACCTCCCAAACCCGAAATCCCTGCTGAGTATTTGCAGAAGCCGCAAAGGCGCCCCGCACCCGAGGCTTACCTCGCCTCACCTAGCCTCTCCACCTCCCTTCACATGCACACCGAAACGACAACGTGCTGCGCTCTCCGAGATTGGTTCACCGAATCAAAAGCGACAGCGAGCCCTCAATGCAGTAGCGCACGTAATGTCACAGAACTCGAGGTCGCCAACGAGGAAGTCGAGCGGCAGACTGGAACGCAGCCTCTGGTAGACCCTAATTCCACGCCACGGCTGACTCGTCGGGGAGCGGGTAGCTCCTCTAGCACTGCCAAGCCGAGACCTGCACACGCAGTAGGTCAGCCCCAGTGCTGACGCCCAGCGCATCCGAGAAGCAAGCAGACGGTGACACAGAGCTTAAGTCAGCCCATGAATCAACGAAGCACCTCCACAAACCGAGCTGGAACAAGCTTGTGCACAGCCAGACGCTGAAGCAAGCCGTGCTCAGACGCCCTGAGTTCTCGTACTACAACATCACCACTGCGCGCGTCATCAAGGAGCTTGTGCCAAGCAACAAATACAGTGAGCTTTCAAAGGGCAAGATGATCAACTTCGCTGTTACCCTTAGCCCCCGCTAATCCATACGGCCAACATCACCCACCGCCTCACTGCTTCTCCTCAAAAACTCTAGCGTACCTGCAACCCCTCTAATTCCTCTTCCCTCTTCTACAAACCCATTATTCTTAGTATCAAGACAAAATCCCCTGATGGCGGTAGTGAACATAGCAAGGTGCGGCTATCCGTTTGGGCAATGGCCTACTTCAACTGCAGTGCCAGCCCATCCGATGATGATGATGTCTTTATTACGCCCGGCTCTAGCCTAGAGGGCACTAGTGCGTTATTACCTAAGCGCTTCCTTAGTAATAGCTTAACTCCTTATAGCCCTTACATGCCTCCTGCTCTGCTATCTAGCGTAGTTGTTACATATCCTCTTAATTATAATTTATAGTAAGTGTTTTTAAAGTCTCTTTTTTAAGTGTTTAAAGTCTTTTTATTAGTAAGTAAAGTAAAGCCTACTGTTATATAAAGTTAGTATTAAGTAATTTTTTTTTACTATTATTTTTATAGTTCTAGGTTTTTATCTTCTTTCTTGCTCTAGGCAGCCTATTGCTATTGTGTGCCTAACTATTATCTTTACTATGTTAATGTCTAGTAACTATTCTGCTAGGTCTACTAGTGCCTTTTTTTTAAAAAAGAAAAAAAGGTTTTCTTTTTTAGTCTTTATTTACTAAAGCATTTATATTTAAAGTGTGTCTTATTTTTAGCATTAAAAAAAAAGTGCTAAATAGTTTCTTTTTGTCACGATTGTGCACAAGTAAGGTTATAGAGCTTCACGGAGGTCTAGTTTAATTACTATGTAAGGTATCATAGTAGGTACAAGACGTTGTGTAAGGAATAGGAAGGTTTAGAAGGAAATTAGTAATTAAATACTTAGCTTAAAAGTCTAAGCACTTTAAGTATAAATTAAGCCTATTCTAGGTTTAGTTAGTGTTAAAGCAGTTTATGCTTAAGTTTATGTCTATGTTATGTTATATTTATATTAGACGTGCACTAATAATACTCTAGTATACGTCTAATATAGTTATGTCTAGAATCTAAGAAGGATACTGTAACAGTACTCTCCCTCTTATTAAAAAAGGAATTCTTTACATTAGTAGTTCTAGCATTAGGTTATCTTTATTAGAGTACAGGTTTAGTTTAGATAGGTATTAGACGTAAAATTAGGTTACTATAGAGTTTTTTTATAAGGCTTTTATAAGTTTCTACAACAGTTTGTTGTATCTAGTCTATTTTATAAAGTATTTATAGATATGTTTCTTTTTATTAAACTAGATCTATTTAATGTTTTTTATAATATATTCTAGTTTATTATTTATAATAATAGGTTTAGGTGGCAGGTTTAGCTGTCTAAGTAGATAGTTAGATTTAAAGGCTACTTAGCGCAGCAATAATACATAGAACACAGGGTGTATTTTTATGCTGTTAGGTAGGATTAATTAGTAAGCGTGTAATAAGACTATATAAGCTACTATAAAGGGGCTAAGGTTTTTCTAATTAAGTTTTTTTAATTATTAGTTTATTTAAATATTTCTAGCATCTAGCTAGACCTTCTTGCTAGCTGCATACACAAAAGTAGGAGTTTAAAATTAGTTTATGTACTCTTGTTAAAAAGCTTAAGCCTATGTAAGCTTTTTATAAATATATTTAGATATATTTTAGATCTTATTAATAAGTTTATTTATATTTATTACTTATATAAATTAATAAGTTAGTTAGGGGGTATTTAAAAGTAGTTTAAATTTTATTTAGAGGTAGTATTTATAGTTTACTAAGAATAGAGATACTTATGTTAATTTAAATGTTATGTTATTGTTACAGTCTACAGTTAGACTAGCGTAACTCTACTAGGAGTGCTCCACAAACTAGCTGGATTAGGGCAGGGCTCGCTTATAGACTAATCAGAGGTCACAGAGCCCGCGCAGCTGCCCGCAGTAACAGAAGAATGCATTATCTAATAGGAGGGCAGGACGTAAGTCCTAAACAAGCTTGGCAAGTTTAGACAAGTTAGAACAAGCTAGTAGTAGGACTAATTCTAGTAGCTTGCTAGAACGCGCTTAAACTTGTCTTAGCACACCTAGCACATGTATATAGTTCCTATATTAAATAACTTTTAGAAGGTGTGTTTAATATTTAGTTTATTCTTTACATAAACTAAGTAGCATTTAGCTTTCTAAAGAGCTGTAATACTATTTATATATCTTACACTATATATACCTCTAATTCTGTCTAACAGGACTATTTAACCCTAGCCTCTCTACTGCTGCACATAAGGCAAACCACAATCTAGTCACTCTACCTCCCTCTAATAGCCTAATAGCCTGTACGTAGGACTGTACACCCTACTAGTTGGCCCCTACTACCTGTCCTACTCCTCCTCTAGGAATATTATAAAACCTAAGTGCTTCTTTAAAGCAAGAATTATAACATTAAACACCTCCCTCTTTAAAAAGTATAGATACCTTTTAACATAATCTAGATTCTAACATAGCCCACGCTGCGCTATTAGGATCTACAGAAGTTCCTACCTAAAGTAAAGCTGTTCTAGCAGAACAGATTAATTTAATCTAGAACAACATTAAGAAACTCTAGTAAATTAGTAATAAGGTTAGTAAGCTACTAAAACTTAAATAAGAAATTGCTAACCTTTGCTAGAAAATAATAAAATTATAGAACCTTTTTAAACTTTTAAGCCTCTAAAAAGCTACTAACTAAGCCTACTAGATACATAAACTATAAGTAGAGTTAGTAAAAATTTAAAACATCTTAATAAAAAAAGTAAGTATTATAGCTAAGAAGACTCTAAAACTAGCCTTTTTAAAGCTTTTTAGAGAATTATTAAAAGACCTTTAACTATTCTTTATAAGATGTTACCTTTATATGTAATATAATAAAAGAGCATTTTAGACTAACACAGAAATAATATTCTAGATAGGACTACACCTAGAAGGCCCCCCTATAATCTAGTTCTAACTTTATGCAGATAATTAGATAAACTTTAGGGCAAATAGTAAAGCACTTTTAAAATAAAAAAAATATTTAGCAGCATTAAAAATTTTAAAGAAGCCTTAATAGCTATTTATAAAACCTTTAATAAAAAGAAAATTACAGCTAATAAGTTAAACACTATAAAATAAGGAACTAGCCTAGTCTAGAATTATACAGCACGCTTTAGAGAGCAGCTAGCCATCTATAGATAGACAGACTAGAAGGCCCTCTGCTGCATGTTCTATAATAGACTAAGTAAAATAGTAAAAGATAAATTTATACACAGCAAAAAACTAACTACTTTTAAAAATTTTATTATGTAAGTAACAACTTATAATAAGTGTTACAGGGAGCGTAAAAGAGAAAAAAAATAAAAAGGAACTTTTTAAAAACTAGAGTTTATTCTTAAAAAGAAAAAGCTTTTATAATATAATAAAAAACTAATAGACCTTAGTTATGTAAAGCATATATAAAGCCCTCTTTCTAAGAAGAGCTAAGTTCTAGAATGTAATAAGCTACCTCTAATAAAAGAACAACAAAAGTAGCTAAAGAACAAGGCCTACCTAAACTATAAAAAAGTAGGATATTTCTGCTAAAACTGCTTAGACTCTTAGAAGAAGAAGAATAAAAATACTACTATAATAATAAAAGCTATTACTGCTAAATACAGCCTTATAAATAAGGAAATATTAGAAAGACTAGATAACAGACTTTACTAGTAATGCAAAGAAAACTATTTTTTAAA